TTTGTCTCATTTGAACAGCAACACTGTGTGCCGTTGGTTGCAGCAGTGAGAGTCTACAGCTGCCAGCTATCATGTGGGTTCTGTGGTCTCACCTGTGGAGAGGTTACTCTGAAGGATGTCCCTGTGGTGGGGGTAGCAGGTCGTGGAGAAATGTTGTTCTGGGCCTGGGCTTGGGCTTGAGCTTGTGCTTGTGCTTGAGCTTGAGCCAAAGCCTGCTGGGGAACCATTACCAGCTGTCCTAACTCTGTGCGTACCAACACCATACCTAAGGAAGAGCAGGAAACATAAATTAGAGAACACCACAACATAAATACCGCAGAAGAACAGCTAAAGCAGCCACTAAAAAAAATACTGTATATTTCACATATTATACTGCAGGTATATCACTGCACTACAACCTTATAAAACACTGCAATTTTACAAAAGTAATATTTCATGACAGGATCTAGACTTTGTAAGATGTTACAGTAGTGCACATATTATAATCAAAGACTGAAGTATTTGCTTCAGGCTCTGATCATGAGCGAATTACACAAACTCTCCCTTCGTTTTAAAGGACCAGGACTGCAGTTATTATAACCCCACACCTGGCCGTGATAAAATATTTTATTACACATTTGTTTATCTTTGCAGAATTTCCATAAAGAGAAAAGGACATGAGGTCAATAGTAAGGTTAACAGCATGTTCTGATCATGCTCTTGAAAATGTAACTTAGCTATTATTTCTGAGGTCAGATGACTCATTCAAGCAGTGCAGCACAAAAACCATTATGACCACTTTCCTCTGTTATTACCTGCCCCTTTACAAGTACAGAATATGAGCTTCTATTGAAATTACACTGTTTAAAATATAACAGCTAAATTAGGGATATAAATATGGCTCATCTATTGGGTAAGCTATAATTTGAACTACTGGAATCCTGGACTACTGAATTGTTGTTGTAATAACAAAAGTTAGCTACATAAAAAAAAACAATATCTACTCAAATATTTTTTGACAACATATTGCAGTCTCAAAGCATCAGTGGCTACTGTCTGCACACTAGAGCTGCCCAAAGCATTTCTCTGTGCCTCTCAAAGTTTCCTTAGAGGTCTTTTGTGATTCTACTCATCTTCAGTGTACTATTATTATCCTGCATAAATAAACATTTAAATTGATGTTTTTTGCTCTAGGTTTACCACACACACACACACACACACACAAGGTGTTTGTGCTTATTGCATCTATCTGTATAAATACTTTGATTTCTGTCTTTTTCACCCCGGTTTTATCTTTTTTCCAATTACAAACAAACAAGAAAATCAGGGTTTTTCCTGTTTCCAAAAAATTTTGACTTTGACCTTTGTGTAAATGAAAATCACCAGGACTGTAATGAAAATATTTTACTTAAACATTTAGTCAAACATAAAACACAGATTTATTTAGCAAATGATCAGAAATAACATGGAAATCCACAAACTTCTGTTATGTAAGGTACAACACTCCTTGCCATACATATATGTAGATTATTCATGCCCAAAGGCCTATTTTGAGCCAGGGAAAATCCGGAGGATGTCACACACAATCTTCTATTATGGGAGAGTCCAACACACACCGAGCCCTTTTAACAACCACAACCAGGATTCTCTGGCTTGGTTGTTAGCCCTCCTGCTAACCTTACCTTGTGGGATGGTAAACCCAGGGGGCAGCTGAATGGTGGTCTGCTGCTGAGGCGGTCTGACAATCAGTTGGGGGGTTACAATCCTTTGTGGGGCTGTAAGTCCAGGACGGGGTTGTGACTGTGCAGATGTGGCCACAGCAGGTGTTGGGGAGGGAGCTGTTGGCCTAACCATAGTAATAGTGGTGGTCACCGATGTGGTCTGACCAGCTCCACATACTGAACTAGTTGCCATCCCTGTAACACACACAGCAGGTGTGATGGAGTTCAGAGGCTGAGTTATTGTTATTGTTGTTGTTGCTGCAGCTGTAGTAGTTGTTGGTGTGACAATAGATGAAGAAGTAGAAGGAGGAGGAGGAGGAGGAGAGGAAGTGGAAACAGTATTTACTACAGAGTTGACAACGCTAGACTGGGTTAACATTACAATTTTGGACTGACAATCGTCTGTTTTGGAAGCCCCAGTGTCTGTGACCATTTTGGTTTGGTTCCCCGGGGAAGCTAAAGAGGTAACGGGTCCTATACGAGCACCCTGCTGGACCAAGGCCGAAACACTGGTCCCGTTGCCGTTCTGGGCTATACTGGCAACAATATGACTCGGGAGTCTATGCAAAGCAATAGTAGGAGTCCCCCTGTCGAGAGCAATAGCCGACTGACCCACAGGCAGGCTCGCGTTGGATAAGGTGAACGTCGAAGTGTTAATAGAGGTTGTGACGGGTCGTCCAGAGTTTGGTGTACTTGCACTCGTATCCACTTGGCTAACGCTGTCGACCACCGCTGTGTTGCTGTTCCTCCGCGTTGTTACAGCTGCGCCGTTCAAACTCTTTATCCGCGCCGAAGCGCTCCTCCGCGGCGTCGTTATGCGTTTTCTCGGCGGGGTTGCTCCCGTCGACGTCTCACCTGTGCCCACGGTAACCTTAGAGCCCTGGCTGGATGTGGTGGTGCTGATGCTGGCTGGCGGCAGAGATGCCAAAGTTGACACACCAGATGCAGTCAGTGTTGTGATGGATGCTCCATGTGATTGCGAGCCGCTGCTAGTGGCGCTCACACAGTCACCCGAAGTGGTGGAAGGCTCGCCAAAAGAAGGGCTGCAGCCCGGTGAAGGAGATGTGACAGTCTTATCCGGGCTAACGTCTTTAGAGTTGATCTCCTGGCGCATCTCAGTTTTATTACGGCGTCCTTGTTGTTGTTGTTCTAGTGTTGTGGTGCTCACTGGAGCTGGTAGCGTTTTTCCTAAGTGATGGTTAGCGGGGGGCACAGAGCCAGCGCCTCCGTTTTCGTCTGCTTTACCAGCCGGGTTGCTTTGTCCAGCAAGCTGTGACTCCAATGAGCCCACTAGGTCGCTCACAGCTTTTTCATCCACCTCCGAAAAGAGCATATCTTCCAGGGGGTCGGAGGCGCCCGCCATCTCTGATCACAGATAGCCGTCTTCTATTTTTTTTACAATGCGCCTGCGTGTTACTAGGCATTGTGGGAATGGATCTGACGTCATTAAACAAGGGGGGTATAAATGGAGGAAGGGGCGTCCTAGGTGTAGCCGTAAGTCTGTGGTTATTGTATCCTATTTATTATGTGTTACCTTCACGGAGTATTAATTAGTAATCATACTAAGTACCGTGCAGTTACACCGCCATCCCAAAGTAGAATATGAGGAGCTTTGACCATATTTAAAGAAAATGATATATAAATAAGAAAAAAGTTCAGGAAGAAAGCAAAGATTATTTTAAAACGATATAAGACAGTTATAATGTACATAAAGCTACTAAGTTAATGAATAAATAAAACAGATCTGAAACAAAGCAGTTACACAGAAGTTATATAATTATTAGGTCTGATTTTGGTATTGTTTTTCCCTTTTCTGTGCATCTTTTCTTTTACCTTTGCAAAAGGTAAGATGGGAAATATATCATTTATTATCCAAACAGTTAGTAAATTACTTTTTTACAGCCGTTAAAAATGAAGTTAACACAATCTGTAAAATAATAGCGTAAACCATTAGGATTGTATCTTAAATCAAATAAAAGGAAATTTGGCAATAACTAATATGAAATAAAAAATAAATACAATTGGGTAAAATATGACTAAATAAAAATATGAAGTATTAAATTAAATTAAAATGTCTTTAATCCAACATACAATAATAAGATTAGAATTTCTTAAAATATGATAATAAATATTAATAATAAATATGATAATAAATAAATTATTAAATTATTCTTTAAAGTGGCTCAACATAGCAAGGCAGTGCAGGGTTGAAATGAAATGACATTATGAGAAAAGAATCAGGAATAATTGGGAATATTTTTGTTATAGTAGTTAAAATAACAACAACAATGACCATAAAAATTTAAAAAATATATATATATGGTAGCTGTATTTGATTGTTGTAGATTGAAAGATTGTAATAAGTTGTATATTATATTAAGTACAGTACAGTAATTTTAGTAAAAAGTACAGTAATATTTAAAGTTAAATACTAAAATAATAATATTATAAGCAATAATTATGGAGTTTTTTTTCTTATAATTTTTTGAAATGTTTGTACATTTTGTACAGTTATAGCTACAGTTTATGTTCTGCCAAAACAAGACAAAACACCCAATAAGTAACGTTAAATAACTTCAATTTAACTGAAAGCATTATTTTTTAATATAAATCACAACACTGCAACATTACATCACCACGACATTACTATGAATTTGTTTGGCCAGGGAATAACTAGTTTTAGTTTTAATTGGCATAATAACAAACGCTAAAGCTAAAGACATTTCCTTTTTTTTGGGGGGGGGGGTGTTTTTTTACTTTATTTTTGTTTTTTGTTTTTTATTTATTCTGATTATTTTAAGAAATCTAGATTTTTATTTATTTGTTTATTTGTGGTTAAGTAAAAATGTTTTCACAATTAGTATTTAGTTTGAGTTAGCCTAACTATAACTGCTCAGAAGCCTCTGCCTAAAGACACTGACGTTAAAATAAAAATAACCGTTGTTATTATTTTTCATTTAAAATGAACTGCCTTGCAGGGACAGCGTCATCACAGCTGTGGGAGACACGTAAAAAATGTAGACTGTTTAATGGCTGCGAAATTTTCTGCTCTAAACCTCCGGATGTAATCTCGTGTAATATCGTGAGATTATTGTGTGGTTAAATTTCAAACCTGTATTAAGTATCCTTATTTAGTGACTTATTTAATCCCTTTGAGGAAATGTTATTATAATAATTACAAAATAAAAGCCAAAACTGTATCGAAAATGTTAGTACCGCTAAAAATATATTTGTCACATCATTCGTTTCTATTTGTAAGCAAAGGAAACAGTGGAAGGGATGGAAGAGGAAAAGGAGGCGACTTTAGTTGACTAGGCCTCTACCTATCTCCCAAAATCCTTTGCGGCAGGGGAAGGAAAATGAAAACGGCCATGTCGTGGTAGAGATCAGTTGTGAGCGGGATTCATAGTGTCGTTTGACGATATATGTTATGTAGTCTGAGAACTGCAGGTCTGAAAAGAACGCATCCGACGCTTCGTGTGACACAAAACGTTTTCTTCGGAAGTACGCGTGTAAATAAAGTTAAAGGACGAAGATGAGCGGAGGAGGGACACCGTACCTCGGCAGCAAAATTAGCCTCATCTCCAAGGCCGAGATCCGCTATGAAGGAATTTTGTACACGATTGACACAGAAAACTCGACTGTAGCTCTCGCTAAAGGTAAGTTAAGGCACACAGAGAGGGAATACAAGACTCAAAGAGCGTAAAAGTGTTAAGCGAAGGAGAACAGCATTTTTTAGGGTATTTGGCTTTGTTGGTTAGCTTTTTAGTTAGCCAACAGAGCTAACTGGCGCTATAGTTAAGCGCTGTAGTCCTTTGTTTACGTTGTAATTGTGGTGAAGTCAAATGATGTGCACCAAGTGACACATAATTACCACCAGATATACCTTGTTAAAGCATTAATTGCGGCTTATTGGCTCTTTTTAGTGTTTACTTTTTAACATGCGTTTTAGAAACTCTGATTATAATACTCTTGTCTGACAGTATCGCTAAGACCTGGTGGACTGTGCGTATGGGAAGAGTACTAACTTTATCTCGAGCTCATATTATGTGGAATTTATTTTGAACAATGTGGTTAACAAAAATTGATATAACTTGAGGCGTCTGTTTTCTTTAGTCTTTATTCCAACGCTAATTCATAATATTCAGTTCTAACATTGAAAGTTAATGTGAAGTCAACAGTGTTTGTTCTTAACGCAAGGAAATTCTCCTCCTTAATTAATAAAAGTAAAGTCGTGTAAGTTAACCTGTGAGTTTTCCCTACAGTTCGCTCCTTTGGCACTGAGGATCGGCCCACTGACAGGCCTATTCCTCCTCGGGATGAGGTCTTTGAGTACATCATCTTCCGAGGAAGTGATATTAAAGACCTAACAGTTTGTGAGCCACCAAAAGCCACCAGTGCCCTGCCGCAGGACCCTGCCATAGTCCAAGTAAGTCAATTGGTGCGTTCCATTACTATTAAACAGCTGTATAAAGGCTTTTCTTTAAGGCTTCTTGTATGCTAGCTCATGGTGACACAGGCATGGCTTTATTGAGACATAAGGGAGAGACACTCACTAATTATTCTGTATGTAGAGTTTTTGTGTGTGTGATTTTATAATTAAATAATAGCAATTGAGGTAATCATTCAAAATAATTACTGAAATAATTGCCTAGTGGCATTTTGAGTTGCAAAGCTTGCTTTAAAGGAACTTTGCTGTAGGGCCATCGTTAACATTATTTCAAACACCTGTGTATTACAAGGATCAACTATAAAGAAATTCAGGTAGAAAGTGACAACTATTGTTTTACTGCTTTTTCTTTCTTTGTTACAGAAAATAAGTGATTATCAATGTTTTTAATTATTGCACATTTTAAGAAAATAAAGAAACCAATTAGAAAATACAATAAGCGACAAAAAAATAAAGTGACCACTTGTTGTAGAAGCCCTGAAAACCAGATTCACAAACAAAGGAGTCTGTTAAAATAAAGTGTATTCAAAGTAGAGTCAGGCCTTTTTCCTTCTAGATATGGTATCTTATCTATCTTCTAGATAACACTTTCTAAGATGTACATTGGTTTATTAACAGCTTTGTGTCCAACCAACAGTTGCCCATTCATTTTGTGTTATTTGTTGTTTTGAAATGTAGGCATCAGACATTTATAATCGTATCATAGTATTTTCAGTCATGGTTAACAGCTATGTTTAAAAGTCTTGTAATGTTTTTAACTGGATGTATATTTGTTTGTCTAGTCATCAATTGGATCCTCAAGTGCTGCAGCACCTCCATCATTCCAGGCTCCTGGGTCCTATGCACCTTTCAGCAGGGCTCCTGCCCCATCATACAGCCAGTTTGGTGTTGCACCCATTAGTTCTCAACAGTTTGGATCTACTGGAGCAATTGGTAAGGAGCTGTGTGAAATAAGCAAGTCAACCACATTAAAAAGCATTAGGTTTTTCAAGTTCAAACCTGTCCAAACACTCTCTTGGATGGAAATGTAGAAGATGCAGTTAAATCTTTCATTGCTGATATCTGTCTAAATGCTACGTAGTGACCTCAGACAAGCTAAACATCTGTTTCTCAAGCAAATTTGGAGCAACACCTGATTCCTGCTCATTTGAATAGAGCACAGCTGCATGCTGCTTTGAGTTTCCTGCTACACACCTGATCCCTATTGTGTTTTGAACTGGAAACGGCAAAGACAGTTATGCATCATACTTCTAATAAACTGGTGGAGATTTTTTCTCTAAATGTACAGATTGGATTTTTACCTTTTTGTCAGTGAACATCTGTGTCATCCACTGCCAGTAAAATGGAAGTGTGTGAGTAGCTGAAGCTTATCATTCAGCTCTGACAGAATCATCTTCACTACTACTGTGTATTATATATTTTAAGTTACTTTTACTCACAAATACTCCAAAAATGTTTTGCACTGCACACAAATCTATTACAAATACAAGGGAAATGCTTACACTGTGGAGTCCTTCACAAGCAGGACTTTAATGGACAGTATGTTTTTCACTTAACACTTTTAATGTGAATTTTTTTTTCCCCCTCCATAAGAGCAGCTCCTTTGGAACAGCTTCTAATTGCCGTTTGTTTGTTTGTTTGTTTGCAGGACGCACTAGTCCCCAGCTGGATTCTATAAGAAAGAGTCCCACCCTGGAACAGTCAGTGAAGGCCCCACCATCATCCACCCCAGCTCCACCTGCAGGACAGCGGAGTCAGACAGGGGCAGCAGCTTCCAGAACCACCACCACTGGCATCCAGAAGCCTCCAGACCTCCTGGAGCAGAGAAAAGGTAAAAGTGTAGGTTGTGGCTGGTTTAAAAAGTTATTTGTAGTAAGTTCATAACAGAGCAAAAGAGACATTAATCAGTAATGTTGATTCATTTTATTTATTTATTTTAAGAATGCAAAGCCACAGGATGTAAAGAATACAAATTGTCTGGTGTCTTTAATTATCAGCTTGTTGTATCTTGTTAGTGTGGAAAGAACTAAAATTTAGCACTGGCTATCAAATACTGCTGTTAATAGAGAATCAGCCTAATCAGGCAAGTCATAAACAAGGTGTAAGGCTTGTTTGATGACAAGAGTGATTAAAGTTTGAATTGGATCTTATGTTTGGTAATGGCTACTCTACAGAACCAAAATCTATAGAGTTTAACTTCTGAATTTATTCTTTTTAACAAATACAAATAAACCTGAACCCATGCTGCAGTTGAAGCTCATATTATTGTCTTCCTCAGTGCCAAGCCCTGCCAAGTTAAATTGATGACTATTTTCTTTTCCTGTTCAGCTCCTGAGGTTCCGAAGGTAGCGCAGCCAGATAATGAGCAGGGTGCAGTTGAAAACCGGGATCCCAATAAGCGCCAAGGTGGTGAGTAATTTGCACCTTCAGTCAGTAATGTCCACAACACTTACTGCTGTTTACTGATGTGTTCATCTTTTTTATTTTGTAGCTACTCAGCTTTGAAAATTTAAATATATAATGAAAAGCTTTATTGGATTCATGTTGGGATGGCAGTGCCTTTCCTGAAATGCTTTGGGCTAATTTCACGTCAGCCAATTCTCAAAAGTTCCCTCAGAATGTACTTTTGTAATTTATCAAGTGGGAAGCACTATTTTTCTTTTTTAAAGTTTAATACTTAAGTTTGTTTCTGTTGTTTCTCAGCTGGTGTTCAGTCTTCTAACCGCCGTGGCCGTGGAAGAGGAAACCGCAGCAGAGGCAAAGTAAATGTGCGCAGGGATGGCACAGTGAAGTTTGACGAAGACTTTGACTTTGAGACTGCCAACGCCCAGTTTCACAAAGACGAGATTGACAAAGAGCTCCAGAACAAGCTCAAACTCAAAGGTACCACTTAAACAAGTTCTAAACTGCAGCAACTAAAATTGGAGGTTAAATATACCATGATACATATGTGAACATTTCTGCCATTTTAAGTTGTTTGATTTTACAACATTTCTTCCTACAGATGACAAAACTGAAAAGGCACTCAATGGGGAGGAATCAGAGCATCCAGCCAATGAAGGTGCTGCTGAGGAAGAGGAGGCTGTGATAAATACCTGCTACTATGACAAGTCAAAGTCCTTCTTTGATAACCTGTCCTGTGATGATACCAGGTACCTCAATACATCCATTTATTTATTTGTAATCTATTCTGTGGTGGATTAGTTACACAAGGGCATGTTAAGATTTGAGTGACTTAAGTTTTGTCACCGCATCTGTAGAATTTATTTTCAGCGAATATAAGGGAAACCAAATTTTAAATATTCTGCAATGAAAAATTTCCCAGACCTGTAAACAGTAGGGGTGCAACGATATTCGTATCGATATTGAACCGTTCGATACAGTGCTTTCGGTTCGGTACGCATATGTATCGAACAATACAACATTTGTAATTTATTTTATCAACTTTCCTTCCGACGATGCTGTCTGTGTTGAGCGCTCAGTGAATCTGCGTTCGACTACTCCTCCTAGACTCCACTGTCGAGCGCAGATCCACTGAGCGCTCAACACAGACAGCATAGTCAGAAGGAAGAGCGCAGGGCAAGTTAGCAAGACACATGGACCTCCCCCACCCTCATTCAGATCTGGCGTTTGGAATTATTTTGGTTTTCATGTGACGTATGACCCTGAAGGTAAGCGAGTCATGGACTAAAGTAAAACAGTATGTTGGATGTGCCATGCAATGCTCAATTACATGGGTGGGAACTAGTGTGTTAGCGCAGTTAGCTCGTTAACGTGTTGGCCGTCTAGCCCCACACACGGGGCGATCGTGGTAGCTCGTTAACGGAGATTTGCCGTGTTGTGGCGTTAAGGTCATTTCAACGAGATTAACCTGAAAGCACTAGTGGGAACACAACGAATATGACTGCACATTTACGCAAACAACAAGCATGCTGCTAACTTTAGCCGAGATTTACACAACAAGCAGATTTGGCATGTGAACTGTCAGCAAGGTTCTTCAAAGATGTGTAGAGCTGCACTTAAGAAAAAAAAAGGTCAGAATCTGTGTTTTTTGTGCCCCTCTGGAGATTCTGCAGTCTGCCTCTGCATAAACTATGCTTTGTATTTAATCAATACGCTGAAAGACTTTTGTTTCTGTCTCTTTCAATAAAACAAGTGAAAGAGGTTTTTCCAAAGGGAGAATTTTTCTATGTTAGTCAGGCTTCACATGTGAATGGGACACCGAATTGCTACTACTTGCCCACTGAAGCACTAAAGATGTTTGGGTTTTTCGTGTGTGCAGGAAAATCCAAAAAAAACAACTTTTTAATGCTCTGTCATCTGCTCAAAGTTGGAACTTCACTAATGTACAGCTGCTTTTTTTTTTTTAGTTCTTAATGCTTGGTTTGTTCACTCTCTAATGAATTTTTGATTTAAAAAAAAAATTCATGTTAGCCTGTGATGCCTCGCTTTGTCGTGTAAATTTATTTTCATGTGACTTAAAAAAAAATAAAATAAAAAAAAATCTGTATCCTTATTGATGTCTGTGTCTCAGGGATCGTAGGCCAACCTGGGCTGAAGAGAGACGAATGAACGCTGAGACATTCGGCATCCCTCTGAGGCACAACCGAGGAAGAGGTGGTTTCCGCGGTCGAGGCTTCATGGGGCCTCGTGGAGGCAGAGGGCGACCGGTAAGCAGAGGCTCCTTCGGACCACCCCGAGGTGCTCCACCTGGATTCAGAGGCGGATTCAGAGGTGGCAGAGGAGGCCGGGATTTCTCTGATTTCGAATACAGGGTAAATCCTTTATGAACTCATTATAGATGGTATAAGATGGACTTAGCTTCCAGATGTGAAAAGTAAATTGCAATTTACTAGTGCATTGTGTTCTGTTCAGTGGCCACCCTTGTGGTCTTGTAGGGGTCAGTGAGCAACAAAGACTCAGTATATCAGTAGGCACCTTCCCAATGAGCTTGAGAACTCACTAGTTTAAGGACATTGTCTGAAACATTAAGTTCATTGTGTAAAATATGGCCATTCTAAGAGTGAAAGTCCAGTTTCATTTGACTTCGCTCTTCAGTTATCATGACAGCAAAAATGTTCATCTTAAGGCATCGTACCAGGATTTTTGCTCAACAGTGAGGTGTCATCGAGGCTGTGTCCATCACTTATGCTCTCTGAAGATCTCACATGTATTTTTTTTCCTAGCAAATAAAGCAGATTGGAAGAAATGATTAACTTTTGTTTTGCATTTTTGCAGAAGGAGAACAAGGTGGCTGCGTAGTACTGCAGTGATGGATCCACGATGAATGGTAGCCAGTCATCATGAAATTATATTCATCCTACAAATTTTCTCAGCATTCAACAGACAAAAAATGAAGACATCTTGTTGGTCACCAGCACCACGGTGGACTTTTCAGGCAGTGAGAGTGCCACTCCCTCTCTCAGCTTCACAATGAGGCTTTTTGTTTTTTGTTTAGTTTTTTTGCCCCAGAAATATTAGTTTGATAAGCAGTCACCGGATGGACAGGAACACGTGTAAATATACCATGTTTTGGAGTTTGTTCTCTTAATTTACAGTATTGTTTGATATTGAATGCTGTATCCAGAGTGCCCTCTGATACTGTGAGCGGATCACAGTCGGTGTGATCGATAGCTTTATTTTATCTTTTTTCAGTTCCCCTCGACTCCGTTTGATATATTTCTTTGACACCAGAATTCAATGCATCGCCTGTTGCACTTTTTTTTTTTTTCTCCTCTCAGACGCATGTGTTCAGTATCCTTTCTCGACTTTAAGCATTTTATTTTTCATTAATTCATTCTCAAATGTAGTGAGATCAAAGCCAGCTGAAAAAGCAAAAATCTGAACTTTACTGAATGTATTCTGATCTCATTTTATTCTTCCTGCTCCACAGCAAATTTATTGCCCACCAAAAAAACCCCAGTCCCTCCTAGTTTTTAAGACGTATGTATTCAGTAAGTAGATCAGTCAGTCCTCATAAATCAGATGAATTCTTTCAGCTTTAGGTTGGCAGCCTAGTGCAGCCATTCATTTGATATATGCAGTTTACAGCATATTAGGTATAGATCTATATGTTGACTGCCGTATTTCTTTTTTAAATTTTTTTTTTAACAGTTTCCTGTTATTTGTACCTTTTTTGAGGAAATATTCATTATTAGTAAAATCTGTAGAAGGTGTTTTGTTTTTCCTGTAGGGAAGAACACCTAAACAGGTTAAAACTGACAAAAAACCCAAAACAATGACGTGTTTGAGCTAAACTGATTGTCTGCCAGAAGTATGTGTTATCATTTAAGTACCTGTTAAATGTCCCAAACATGTGGAGTCCTCTGTTAATTTCAGCTTACTTTTGAATTGTCTTACAGTGTTGTCCTCTGAATTGTCGTCTCCCCCACCCTCCCTACTGTTACTACACTCAGCTGTGTCAGATTATTTACTGAAAATGGGAAATATTGTGGACTAAATGATGTCTCAAAGCATATGTTCAAACAAATGACAGCGATGCTGATAGGTGTCAGCCTTCCAGCTTGTTTGTAGCGCTCTTGTTGCATTGTGGTCAGTGTGATTGTTCTCTGAAGTGAATTTATTTTTATTGACTTTGAACAAAGGGACAAGAACTGGATGTGGTGGGATGCCTCTTTTTCTTTTTGGCTCTGATTTAGTGCTTTAGGGAGTGCCTTCAGAGTGGTGGGTTTTTGTACAGCTCTCCCTTTAACGAAAAGGTTACCTTTTCAGACAAGTATCAAAAGCACTACAAGGTGAAATAGATCCTTTCCCGTAGCTTTGGTTGTTTAGAACAGAACAGTTCAGGTGAAAGTGGGCCGTTTAACCGGATTAATCACAGACAGCCGATCACTGCATGGTAGTCGTAAAAAGCATCATTCTATAGGGGCTTTCTCAATAACCAGCAGGATTAAATTTGAGACAAAATATTACTGAACGATTCACAACTGACATGTTTTCATATGTTTGCTACTGCTTCCAGTCACTGGAATTGTAAAACAGGAATAGTTTTCTTGAGAAGCAAAATGGAGTTTTTACGTAAAATAAAGAGTTGTACGATTTATGTCTTGGTTTTTTGTTTTCCACGTGACCCTACATTTTTCCCACAAATCCTGCAGTGAGTTGCATCTAGGTCATCCTTTGTTGCAGAAGTTCCTGTACACACTCACGGGCGCAGTCTGTAAGGTTATATTTTTAAAGAACTTGCCTATTAGAACATTAAAAAAAGGCCTTAACATGGTTTCTCATATTTGATACATGTTTGGAGTCTTTACATTATTATTGCACAGCAATTGGCATTATTAAGCAATAAATAGCAAAAATGGTTGACATAGCAAATACACACAACTCACATGCAGATTTGTTTTTCTTTGATACGATGGTCAATAAAAGATCAAATTAAAAAAAAAAAATTCATGATAAAAGAATATTCACCCACTGCTCACCTGATTAGGTAGATATCAAATATATAGATCCTCTGGGCTGTTTCAGAAACCGCTGATCTAAAGTCAGATTCTGTCAGCTTGATAGGTTTGAGACATGACTTTCTTTGGTAATTAGGACATTTCAGTTAATCTTGCAATTAAAATTACTACTACAGCAGCATAAAGAATAAAACAAAGGATGATCTACAATTTAAACATTATTCCTGGGAAATCGAATGAGAGATGAAACATCTTTGCAAATTTACACAAGTCCAGTTTCCTTCTTTTTCAAGCTCTTGGGTCCAAAACAGCCTGAGACATCACACTTCCGCCTCCATGTTTGATAGTTGATGCCACACACAGTGGAACCATCCTTTCACCTACCCGACAGCGTACAAAGATCCTGAGTGATGAACTGAAGATTTCAAATTTTGATTCATTAGTCCCTAATACCTTCTTCCAGTCTTCAGTAGTCCGATGGTGGTGTTTCATGGCCCAGGCAAGCCTCTCTGCCTTATTCTGACCTCTTAGCAATGGCTCTCTTACTCCAACTATTCCTGTCAAACCTGCAGCCTGCACAGTAGTTCTTGAGGACTGGAGTTTGAGACCCCTGTCCTACAATATTGGCCACTCCAACAATCAGAGGATTCCCTATGAGCAAGCATTAAGTTACAGTGGGGAGAAAAAACTCCCTTGTAATAGGAAGAAATGTCCAGCAGAACCAGGCTCAGGAAGGGACAGCCATCTGCCGTGACTGGTTGGGGTGGAGGGAGTGAAAATTAAAAAAAAAAAAAAAGCCAAGGTGATAAATATTGGAGCAAGTTGATTATTTTTTTGTTAAAATATTAAGCTGTTATCAGGTTTAAAGGAGTATTGGATTTGCATTGTTTGCACTGTATTTCTGCTGTTGATTACCTTTTCCAACCCCTACTTGTGGTTTTGTCACTTTTGTCTGGGTTCAAAGAAGCAATGCTGGAGACTTGTGTCCCCCTCTGCTCCTCATTTTAATGCAGGGGGAACTCTCAGGCCAGGGTCAAAAAAGGGATGCTTGAGAACCTCCAAGGGTTTGATGCGCTGGTTTGCAAGCAAGGCCAACATCTGTTTAATCAGGCTGACCAATAAATCTGTGCCACTTTCAGGTCCTGTTCTAACTGTGATTACTCGTTTGAGGTCATCAAGATGCTGCAGTGTTATATGTTGAGTGTCCTTGGATTGGTATCCTGTCTCATACTGAAATTGCTCTTCTGTCTTAAATGTCCAGCGCTGTTCGCTGTGGTCGTTTTTTCTGAAATAATATTCTGTGGCCATGCTACAGTCTAGAATATAGTGTGGTGGCTGGCCCTCAGTGTCTGTGATGAATTTTAAAACATCATAATCTATTTTCCCAGGGTAGAGTGGCAACCCTGTAGCAAGCTCCACAGCTAGCCGGCTCAGAGGCCACATGTCAATTGCTTCATTATATGGAATATGAAGCATAACTTCGGGTGCTCTATACCAAATCGTCTGCACAATGGTACCAGGAATCGCTGCACACAGAGGACGTGCCTGCCATCTTGCCTGTTGCAAAATTTTAGGTTTGCTCTTGTTGATTTTAATAGCCACTGCTTGCTTGGTTTTTGTATTTTGACATTTGGTTACGAGACCAAAGGTGCCTTCTCCAAGGAAAGCTTCTACCTTGTAGTGGTTTCCCAAAATGCTCCCTTCAAATATTTCACATGACATGGTGAAATGTGTTTTTTTTGCTCTTAAATTGGTGAGAAACGTTTGAAAATGGTTTTGGTTGTTGTTGTAAAACTCTATCAAAACTTTTCCAATGTTTTCTTGGTTGCTTTCAGTTCAAGGTCCTTTTAAGCACTATAATATATCACATGTGGGTCCTATCAAGGAGCGTTCAAGCATTCTAAAGTGTGTCTTTGTTTTGTGTGTGTGTGTGTGTGTGTGTGTGTGTGTGTGTGTGTGTGTGTGTGTGTGTGTGTGTTACATATTTGGTAAACAAACAGTGGATCAGGCATACCTAATAGTGATGTGTCGGTCGCGAACAAACGACTCGAGCCGGCTCCTTATTGGGAGTCTTGGGTTTTTTTCTTCTGTCTCTCAGCCTCTCTCTTCTACTTTTTTCTGCTTCACTTTGCACATGAGCCTTGTGCTTTGCGCTGGGAAGAGGAGGGGAGGGGCGGTAGTTACACTCTCAGTAGCACAGGAACAGAGCAGGAGGGAGAGAGAGAGAAAGAGAGCCAGGGACAACAACGTCACATTAGAAAGGTATAGTAATCATCCACAACTATTTTCAGTTGCAGATGATAAAGGATTCAAAAAGTTTATTCATGCAGGCCCATATGAGAGAGAATATGCATCTTCTTTTTGTTTTCATAATTTAATTTATATTTAACTGTGTTGTTTAACTGTTTTGTGTTGTTTCACTTAAAGTTTGTTTAAAAGGAAAAAGCTGAAAATTTAAATAGTTAAAAATTGAAATGTGAATAGTTGTTTTTTGTATTATATGATTTATTTATTATATTTTATGTGGAGTGAATAAATAAAAGTATATTTATGGTGGCCCCCTAGAGACAAAGCACATACAAACTCCAAAACACGTAAAAACTCCAAAACACTTAAAAACTCCATAGCACGTACAAACTCCAAAACATGTACAAAAGACAACAGAAGTGCTCCAGAAAGCTAGGCGCAGTGTTGAGCTTTTGTTACCTAGTGGCTACACAAGCCAGGAAGTACCAACGAACGGATTTGGTGTGTGGTAGTAACAGGTAAATGAACTTTTTTTTTTAAATTATTTGAATATATATGAGTGCTTGTGTATAAATACACAAACAATACACATATGCTTTCAATTGTGCAATTTAAGTGATCTAGGTAGCTCTGTTTTGGAAGGTCAGTTAACGCTAGAAATGTGTTTTGGAATTTGTATGTGCTTTGTCTCTAGGGGCCACCGCATATATTTATATATAAATATATATAAATAAAACCACTTTTTTTACATTAGTAATTCCTTTTGTGCATAATTTTATATTATTGTTAATAATAAATTAATTAAAGCAACAAAACAACCTGAAGAGCCGGTTGGGAGCCGAAAAATCCGACTCTTTTTAGTGAGCCAAGCCGAAAGAGCCGGAAATCCCATCACTAGTACCTAATCAAATGAGTGTATATGCAAATACACATACATGCACGTGAAAGACATCTTTATCAAGCTGAACACGTGACAGTTCCTCCCCAGTTTATTGTTAATCTATCAAAACCTGCAACAAACTTGGGGATTCCTAAGTCAAAATTTCAATTAATTTATTTATTTAAAGTTCGACTTAAAAACTAAAATTTTTAGGTTATCTAATTTTTTTTTTTTTTAAACAATGCGATAGTACGTCTTTTCAGTGGCGGAAACGAGCTTCTTTAATCTAGCGTTCAGCCTTCGATGCAATGGAGTGCTCCATCTTTCTGCACATATCATCTTTGGTCGGCTCCCGCCACTGACGTTTCCCTCGGGCCACACGGGGAGGCTGTGCCTGTGAGTCGAACATAATACGTCCCACGAAGAAGAAGCTCTCCGGTCAGCTGGCGTCGTAAAAGCGAAATCGTTGTAGTAGGATTAAATTAAACATGTCGATTGTGTTTGTACCAAAGAAACTCAGAGGAAAAGCTACAGTCAACCAAGAGACGATACAGAGGGTAAGACACCAAGAACGTATATTTTAGAAGCTTTTACGTTGTTTTTATGACTCGATCGTTCTTGGATTAGCAATTAGCTTGCTAACAGGTTTATACGTTCACCCTTATTTGGGGGGGAATTGGTAACCTTATCGCATTTGGCTGTTGACTTTTTACACGGACTTGTCCCGGTGACGGGTTTAGATAAAAATGTTAACAGTGGTTGTGGTAGGGCCTTATCTTAACATGGTTCAATACTCCGTGAAAACCTTTGTTATTTTTTGCTGTAAGTGGCTTTACGCTCTCTAAATTTCTCTCTGGTCCTGCCGGATTCTCTGCTTTGTTCCAGTTACTGGATGAAAACGATCAACTGATCAGATGCATTACAGAGTACATGCAGAAAGGACGCGCGGTCGAGTGTGTGCAGTAAGTTACACAAACCTCTCCTCCACTAATGCTGTTGGTTGACTTCATAGTGTTGTTATTTATTTATTTTTCCCATTTTCCAACAGATACCAACAGATTCTGCATCGCAACATTGTCTACCTGGCAACCATAGCTGATGCAAGTCCCGACAGTGCAGCTTCCACATCAAATGTAAACACAGCCCAGACACAGAAGCAGCAGTAATAATGAGGATGGAGATGGCTTGTTTCTAATGCTCTATTATTGTCTTCGTTTCTAGTGCACATCTAATGACACATCAGCTTCAGCAGCAGCTGTGAATGGGCACACAGAGGGCAGCTGATTGCAGTTTCTGTGACAGCTGCATTCTTCCTCAGAAGCATGTGATTGTGGTCATTTGACAGCATAATTGCACAGAAACTGCCATGGTGGAGTTCACAAAACTCGGAGATATGGACAATGAAAGCAAAGGATCCACCTCCTGTTATTTGTCAGGAAAAAGGTCTCTAGCCTTGGCAGAAAATGCCCTCTCAAAGCACCCTGCCAGTCGAGAATGATCTCGCAACAAAAA